CACCAATGTTCATTGTTTCACTATGTACAGTAGCAAAAAGATGGAGACAGTCTAAATGTCCATTAAGGGAAGAATGGATAAACAAACTTGTTCACACACAAAATGTAATACTGTATGATGCGGAAGAATAACGATGAGTCTGTGAAAGACCGTAAACCATGGATGAGACTGGGGGACATAATGCTAAGTGAAATCAGTCAATCACAAAAGGACAAATATTGTAAAAGGTCATTATTGTAAAAACTGAGGAAGAGGTTTTCATATTAAAATAAACATTCTTTGATGTTACCAGGGGTGGGAGGGAAGGGAGAGTTATTCAGTGGCTAGACGGTAGACACATTAGCTCAGGTGATGGGAAAGACAATAAACAAGAAGGTGCAGGGTAATATACAAGAAGAGGGAAGGTGGCAGAAGAATGATAAAGATAATTGAAGACACAACCACAGGGAGGTCTGCATGGGCTACAAGAGATATGGATAAATAGTGATATATATACAACGTTGGACCAACAATGTTCTTTGCATAGATACATGGACTGAAACATAGGCTGAATGGGTAAGGGAGAAAGAGTGATTTTTATACATATATATCCCACAAATATGTAAGAGTTTGAAAGAGTATATCTGTACATGGATATATACCTTTCCTGCAAACACAGCTATGAGTGTGGTAGAGCATACAGCGGGTAAAATGATGAAAACATCTTTAGGCAAAGAGTTGCTGAGCCTGGGGGCTCAGGTCTGAAGTCTCAGGGGACACCATGGTCAGTTGGCAAAATGGTCCACAAAGACAATGTTCTACATCATACTTAGGTGAGTAGCGTTTGGGATCTTGAAAACTCATGAGTGGCCATCTAAGGTGCAACATGTGCAGAAGAAAGAAGAGTGGTAAGAACTGAAAAGACTTGGAATCAAGTAATCAAATGGACTAATGGATCATGTAAGCATCCATCTCCATGATGTTGAGACCAGAACTAGACAGTGCCTGGATACCACTAGCAACTGCTAGTTGCAAGGGATGGCATTGAGGGTTCTGGATAGAGTG